TATCTGAAGTAAATAAAAACCTTTGATAAGATGAAAAACAGATTTTAGGTATATTGTAAGCATCATGCACATAAAACATAAATATTTATTTTATAAGGATGTTTTAAAATTGTCTTGCTTTGTTGTTATAAAATTAGCATATAGACAACGTAAGTGCCAAATTGCATAAAATCATGACAGATGTAGCATCAAATAAGTTTCCTAAAGTGGTTAAACTTCCAAAAGGACGGATTTCATTTCCAAGTAGGTTGAGCGTGTGTGCATGTGTGAACCTCTGTTCATCCCGGGTCAGACTAGAAGTTGCGGGGAGGAAGGGTAATTAGTCAAATCTCTTCTACAACCATTACCTAGAAAAAAAGACAAAACTTTTGTTGACCATTCAAATGGTGCCTAAATGGAACAGAAAATATGAATAGGGAAGTCACATAAATCCAGAAGGGTTAGAATCTCTTTTCCCCTTTAAAACTTTTGAGAATTGTGTGTCATATAGTAACTGATCTCTTTACCATACTGTAAGGTCTCTACAGGATATAGTTCCCTTTATCTCTTACTAGATTTTTTACACTTTCCTATTTCAAATGTTCCTTCTTTTTTTTTTTTTTTAAGATTTTATTTATTTGCGAGAGAGAGAATGAGAGACAGAGAGCATGAGAGGGAGGAGGGTCAGAGGGAGAAGCAGACTCCCCGCCGAGCAGGGAGCCCGATGCAGGACTCGATCCCGGGACTCCAGGATCATGACCTGAGCCGAAGGCAGTCGCTTAACCAACTGAGCCACCCAGGCGCCCTCAAATGTTCCTTCTTGTTGTGCTCAATTTGTAGTATATAATCGCATTTACTTAAAACAAAAAAGCTTACTGACACCTATTAAGAGCCAACCTGCTAGAAGTAAGAGAAGCAATAAAAAATGGTTTCTATATTCTTAGTAGGTATATACTACACTTTAGTATATACTACAATATGCAGTATTAGGAGTATACTATTAATTATGCTGCCAATACGAAGTTATTATAAACAATAAATATTGGTGATTATACTGATGGTGAATAGTAATTCAGGGATTTTAACTTAAAAGTTGCTCATGAACTCAAATGATTCCATCAGTGTAGATCCTAACAGAACCCAGAAGCTTATCAGTTCTTGATTATTTAGCCCTTCATCTTCAAGGCCAACTTGATTGTTTATACTTTTTTTTTTTTTAAGACTTATTTATTTGAGAGAGAGCTGGGGGTGGGGCAGAGGGACAGGGAGAGAGAACACAAGCAGACTCCACGCTGAGTGTGGAGCCCAACAGGGGGTTCAATCTCACGACCCTGAGATCAGACCTGAGTGAAACCAAGAGTCGGTTGCTTAACCAACTGCGCTACCCAGGAGCCCTGATTGTTTGTACTCTTTTTTTTTTTAAGATTTTATTTATTTATTTGACAGAGAGAGACACAGCGAGAGAGGGAACACAAGCAGGGGGAGTGGGAGAGGGAGAAGCAGGCTTCCCGCGGAGCAGGGAGCCCAATGCGGGGCTTGATCCCAGGACTCCGGGATCATGACCTGAGCCAAAGGTAGATGCTTAATGACTGAGCCACCCAGGGCCCCCTTGTTTGTACTCTTAATGATACCTTAGAACTGTATAATACCTAACAGTTTGCAAGGTGTTTCCACAATCATATGTACCTTACAAAAGGATACTGGTACATAGAATAGGTCTTTTAATAACTAATCCAATCTTCTTATTTCATAAGAAAGAACGAACTAGAGAGGGAAAATGACTCACCAATGTCACTTTGTTCATTTGGAACAAAACCAAGATAAGACTTCAGACCCAGGCCATTTCCCACCACACCAGCTGCCTCAACTAGATTAGTGCATATTTTAAAGACATCAAACTGAGGACCCATGAATTTAAATGACATTTTTAAGGTTATATGGCAAATAAGTACCAAAATCAAAAGGAAAGCCCACTTGCTACTGTTCTTCTTCCTTCTTCATCCATTATGGAAATTTGATTTTTAGGTTATTTACATACAAGAAGAATGGATTTTCCCCAAAAATTTAATAATGCAACTACCTTAAGCCATTGACCTCCCTTTATAGGCACAGGTGGAGATTGCAACCTCCTCTAGCCCATACCATCCCCCTTTTGCCAAAAAAGGAAGACAAGAAAGAATTTGCGGGGGCTGGTGAGGAACATTGCATCATGGGAGGAGAGAACCAACAAGAGAAGCCCAACAAGAGAACCAACAAGAGAAGCCCAAAACTTCCTTAATGGAGGACATAAGCATAGGATTTTTTCACCAGACATTTGAAAACACATGTTTGGAACAAGGTAGATAAGTCAGGGCTGAAGACTAAGACTCTGGAGTCCTTACTGTGTACATGCAAGTTAGTGCTGGAGAATAAGTTAGCTTCCCCAGGAAGAGCCTATAGTGTGGAGAGATAACAGAAGAGGTCAAGCATCTGTTAGAGTATATCAAGATTTGAGAGACACATTGAGGTCCAGCAAAAGAAACTGAGGAGCAATTAACAGAGATACTGGTGGAGTCAAGAGAAAAAGCTGTTCTAGAAGCTAAGGGAGAAGAAAGTTTTGAAAAAATAAGGTCAGGTCATACAATTCAAAATGCTAGAGAAATATCAAATAAGAGGACCCCATAGGACCTGGGGTACCCAAAAACATGTTGCTAAAGATTTTATACTTTATTGTTAAAGAAATATAGGGAATTTTTTAAAACCATTTTTGCACAAGAGGTAGCAAGACGAGAACTGTTCCCCAAAAGTCTGATCTAGCTACTTCATGCAATATAAATTGAGATGAGGAGAAATTACAAGAAAGATGGATTACCATTGTAATACTAGAGCATTACTAGAGTGGTATCAGTAGGTACAGAAATGTGAAAGAAGATGCAATCAATATTTTGGAAGGAGTAAAAGCAAATATATATATATTTTATAAATAACATATGTATTAAATATATGTATATTATATATATATACGTTTTACATGTCATATGCATTTATATATGTATAATACATATATATGTGTTATATTTATATATATTACCATTCTAGTCTTTGAGGAATTTTGTTGAGGGGAAAATAAATTCTTACATATTTAAAATATGAGTTGATGATACAAGGCCATATTTACCTGTTAAGAGGAAATTCTGGCTCAGTAAATGTTGGTATCAGGGAAGCTTTGATAAAGAGGCATGGACACAGGAAAGTCACTTGAGATACTTTTTAATTTATATAGAAACCAGGCAGCAATGTTTTTAGTGTTGAAGAGAAAGTGTTGGTTTAAAAATTGCGTATTAACTTCAAATAGGGAGATCAGTAATTAAGCTGAGGTGGCATTAGTCATTTAAATAGGCACCTAGTCAAACCAGTAATGAGACTTCTTTTCATTTCTAAACAGAAAAATTATTTTAAGTGGCTTTACAGATGCAGTTATCTAAATACTGTGGTGAAGACCAGTTTTAAATGACCTTTGGCTAGCATTCTCAGAAGTAATGTCTCACAATGTCCCCTAAGGTGCCCGTGAAGACAGTAAGAGGAAAAACGCACGACACCAAGACCTATGATTGACAGGCAATCCATTGCCAGATTCTAAGAGGAAATTCAGCTGTCCCAGCATACCCCATGAAGCTAATTTAGGAATCACAATCTTTTGATGACACATGGTTTACAACCTGAGAAAGAACAAAACTGTCTGCCTGAGAGGAATGAGAGATTTTAATTCTCTCCCCAGTGCCTGCCTTTAGGCACAAAACCAGAGGACCGTTGGTTGGGGCTACCAGGGCACTATTCCTCCCAGGACTCCCATCAGTGACCTCCCTTTATAGGCACAGGTGGAGACTGCAACCCCCTCTAGCCCATACCATCCCCCTTTTGCCAAAAAAGGAAGACAAGAAAGAATTTGCGGGGCCTGGTGAGGAACATTGCATCATGGGAGGAGAGAACCAACAAGAGAAGCCCAGTGGAGGAGGCAGGCAGGATGCTGGCGGCAGTGCATGGGAAAAGTGACAGCATTCCATGCATTTCACTGTTTCAGAGACACAGCCGCGATAGGGGATAGATAATCCCCCTCCACACAGCAAAGTTATGTTTGGTGAATACCTTCGAGATGCCGGCAACTGGGCCATGAGGTGAAATGTATCAGTATACCCTCAATGGGAGAGAAGGGAGACCATCACACACAAACTGACAGGGTAGGGACAAGCCACACACCATCAGCTGACTCCAAGATTGAAGCATCTGATTCTCTTGGCCACTCTGCTGACTCTGATGGTCTCACCATCTTGGTCTCTATTTCTCACTTACGGGCTCTTCTTCCAAACCTCTTTGTCTGATAGGGATGCATCTGAGAAATAGTTCATATGAAAAAGACCTGAGATTTCAGGTGGATGTAAGTGGACCGTTTATTGTGGCATGCAATATTGGACCTGTGTTAACCGAGGTACCGTATTTAGGATGATGGAGGTGATGGACCCACTCTGCTGTGGACCTGTCATATAGCAGGGGCATCACTACAGTTCTGGACTCCAGTCAATGAAAGAAAAAATGTCTTCCTTGTAGTTTTGACCAACGACCTCTCCTTTGCTCAGGCTACCACTTCCCTGGGCCATTTTATCTCTGTTGCTACATCTGATGATGAGGGGAGTGTCCTGTACAGAGCCACCTGGTCCAGGAGGAGGGGAATTTAGTTATGGCTGAAGTCCTAAGGCAGGAGCAGTGTAGGCCTTTGGAGAGGAAAGGATGCCATGCAGATTTCTAATTATTTGGCCCAGAGGGAGTTTCTTTTTCTAAACCTCACATGGTATGTTTTCCAGCAGGCAACCCTGCTCTCATCCACTCCCATGGCCTCAATTATCATTTATATGTTGACATTTCCCTTCAGTCTATACCTAGAACCAATTGCTATTGGACAGGTGAATGTTATCAGGAAGCTTATAAGAAAGTTCTATCTCAATTTTAAAAGAAAAATGAGGAAATGCCTTCTCTCTTTCTGCTAGATGTGAATAAGAAAATGGATAATCCTGATTGCTACAAGCAGCCTTCTTGTTACCACAGAAAGCACCAACTTCTGAATGAAACTGATGCTGTGGGCCACAGAGCAGAGAGGGGAAAGAGCCTGTGTTCTTATTAACATCACCTACCTGCTGAATCAACTAACCCTGAAGACCGCTCTATGTCTGATTCTCCTTTTATGTAAGCTAAAAAAAAAAAAAATTCTTAATTGTTCAAACCAGTTTGAATTAAATATTCAGTAACAAAGACAAAAACATCCTAACCAAAACATCATGTAGTCTCCACTAGGTATCTGCTGTGATGAGAGCTTTTCAATGAACTATTTGTCTAGAGGGTCAGGCCTCTCACATAGTCTTATTAGAAAGATACCCTAACTAGAGACATAAGACCAGGGGGGATTTTTTGTCCAGTTAATCTAATATTTGATGAATACATTCTTGTTTCTAAGAGGGGGTATTAGAATCCCAGCTTTACCATCCAATAGTTGGATGACCATGAGAAAGTTACTAAGGTTCTCTGGGCCTTGATTTCTTCACCTACAAATGAGATAATAATAGTACCTATCTCAGAGAGTTATTGTCAGGATCAAATGACATGATATATGTGAATTAGTTAGGATTTATTTCAGCTATGAATAGCATTTCAAAAATAACTATGGTTTAAACAAGGTAAGTTTCCTTCACTCTCACATGCAAGTGTCCAAAGAGATTCATTCTAGAACACAAGTGGCCCTTTGTAATATCAGAAAGTCAGGCTACTTCTACCTTGTTGCCTAATCCCCAAGCTTCCCTCATGGTACATGATGGTTCCTGGAGCTCCAGTTATTCAGGCCCCATCCCATGCAGGAGGACAGAAGCAGAAAAGAAGGGCATGCTCCTAGTCTTTAAGGACATTTTCCAGAACACATCACTTCTGCAGGTGTGCCCAGCTAAAAGCCAGGGGTTTTGCTACAGATGAAGAGGAGAAAGCATCCAACCTCTACCACAACCTGTGAAGTATGAGCACCAGTATCAGTGGATGTCCGTTATTCTTATTAAAAATTTCTACTTCTTGAAATCCTGCCATATATAACATGGATGAAGCTGGAAGATGCTATGCTAAGTGAAATAAAACCAGTCTCCCAAAGATAAATACTACATGATTCCACTTATATGAGATACCTAAAATAGTCAAACTCATAAAAGCAGAGGGTAGAATGTTAGATGCCAGTGGCTTGGGAAATGGGGAAATGGAAAGTTGCTATTCGATGGGTATGAAGTTTCAGTCATGCATTTAAATAAGTTCTAGAGATCCTCTGTACAACAGAGTGCCTATAGTTGTCCATACTGTATTGTACACTTAAAATGTTGTGAAAAGGGTAGACCTCATGTTAAATGTTCTTACCACAATTAAAAAAAAAAAAATCTCCACTTCATCACAAGAGCTGGTCCTCTCTCCAGCACTTACTCTTGGCCTACCTTCCATCAAAATCCAGCTTGTCATCTAGACCCATGAGGGGGTCTACTTAAACTAACAGTTATGAAGATATCACATTGTATGGGCACAAAACATACAGAAATAAGTAAATAAATAAGTAAAGTAAGAGAAGTTACTGTCAAGTTACTGCATGTGAAGCCTTGCCTGGCTCAAGGAAGTGCTCAGTGAATTAAGAATTATTATTCTTGTGGCTAAGGGCCTAGACATTAGGGTCAGACACTTACCATCTATGTGACTTTAAGCAAGCCACTAAACCTCTCTGTCTAGTAGCCCTGTTTTCACATCTTTGACAGCTGCCTTCAGCATTTCATACGTTATAGGAAAGAACACTGCATCTTTTATTTTTAAGACTTTATTTCTTTATTTGAGAGACACAGAGAGAGAGAGCCTGAGCGGTGGAGGGGGAGAGGCAAAAGGAGAGGGAGTAGCAGACTCCCTACTGAGCAGGGAGCCCGAGGAGGGCTCAGGACCCTGAGATCATGACTTGAGTAGAAGGGAGACCCTTAACCAACTGAGCCACCCAGGCACCCCAAGAACATTGCATCTTAAGATTCTTTTCTAAACTTGAGATTTAAGTCACAAGTCTTGTAGATCACAACACCCTAAAAAATTACTGTCTAGAGTACGACTTCTAAATGTCACCATATGAGAAAGGAAAGTGATTTCTTTCAAACACTGATGGTGTCTGAACAAGAAACTGTTTCTTAAATCTACTCTTTTATCTAGTGATACTAACAACATGTCTTGTCAGGTATTTGAGTTTCCAGAATACCAGAAGGATCCTGTGACAAAGGAATAGTCAAAACAATACACAAAACATCTTTGTCCAAATTTACTCATCATCCAAGGAAAGAAGAGTTAGCTAACATTTGTGATCATGTACTCAGAAATCTAAAAACAGCTTTTTTATAGAAGGCTAGATCTCCAAAACTTGAAATAGAGAAGTTGGTAAACAGATCATTTAGGCTTATAGTTTTATCCACAGTTATTTGGTGATTCAAATTAAGCATAAATAAAGATTTGATTGGATAGGTCTGTAGTCTATTTATTGGTTTTGTTATGGGAAGTTTAAAGACAGAAGGGTATTTCCAGTAAAAATATTCTCTGGGTTTGTTAAAATGAGAAAGAAAGGAAGAGAAAGATGAAAAAGAGATGAAGGAGAAAGAGGAAGGCAAGGGAAGAGAATTTTAACTTGTCTATATTTACAGAAACTTGAGAATTTTGAGAATCCCCCAGCAGTGGAATGGAGGTCCAAAGCTTGGTGCTGGCAAGAGAATACATAATTTATTCGCAAGAATCCTCAGAGGCAACCTCACTGGATAGGAAGACTAGCTCAACCATAGAATATCTGATCATTTTCTAGAGGGACAGTTTGGTTTAAAATTATCAAAAATGAGGGTGCCTGGGCTGCTCAGTTGGTTGAGCATCCAACTCTTGGTTTCAGCTCAGGTTATGATCTCAGGGTCATGAGATCAAGCCCTGCGTCAGGCTCTGTGCTCAGCAAGACGTCTACTGGAGATTCTCTGCCTCCTACTCTCCCTCCCCCTCTGCTCCTCTCTCTCTCTCTCTCAAATAAATAAAATATATTTTTTAAAGTTATCAAAAATATTTATCACCCCTTTCTATGACAAATGGCTAAGTTAAAGACATAATTTAACAGTTTATAGAGCAGGTTATCCTACTTTGGGAGGTGCAATTTTATCTACAACATCCCTTGCCAGAAAGCTTTCTAATCCTTAAGCCTAAAAACCTAAAACTATTAGTTGAAAATATTCACACACACACACAAAAAAAGGTGTTCCAGAAACTAAAACTTCTGAGGTTACTCAATTTCTAAGTACATAATACTTATTAAGTATTGTATTAAGATATCCCTGATCAAAAGAGTACATCTCATTCTCTTGTCTCATCTCTAACATTCTGTTCCCCATTTGATACTGTGGACTGTCCAAATGTCGCCTCATTGTAATATGTGAGTAAGAGCAATACTATCAGATCAACATTTCAAAAGGACAACAGAAGTGACTGCATTTATAAACCCAGGGTCTATAAATCTGAAGGTTTTTCAGGCAAAGATGTTAGAAAAAAAAAAAAACCAAGGACCTGGCGAAAATATTCTGAATGCATTGCTGTTGGTTATGATGTTTTTGTTTAGAAGTAGCAAGTCTGACTCAAATGACTCAAACCAAAATAAATAAATAAAATAAAGAGGAAAAAATAAATGTACAGACTCAGTGTTGACTTCAGTCATGATCTGATCCATGAAGCCACCATGTATCTGTTTCTCTGTGTTCTCAGCTCCTCCTTTGGCTCAGTTGGTTAAGGGTGTCCCTCCTACTCAAGTCATGATCTCAGGGTCCTGAGCCCTCCTTGGGCTCCCTGCTTCCTTCCACAATAGGAAGATCTACAGCACCTGTAGACTTCACATTCTCCTGCCACATTGTTTGGAAGAGGAGAGAACATCTCTAGTAAAATGACAGTGGGGGTATTTCTCCCAGAATTTCTCACTTAGCATCTCTTCAGGCCATCCACTTAAGTGGAAACTCACAGACCTATTCTGAAACCAATCACTATAAGCAAGAGTATGGGCTTTGCAGAAGGTCCCTCCCTGGGCCTGAGGGGAAGTCAATCCCACTCACTTCACCTTCCATAATGGCTAAAAACATAAAAAAAAAAAAAAAAAAAGTTCCCCCAAAGTGGTTTCTAGATGCTGGTAGAAAAGGAGAAGGCAGGTAGACAGGAGTCAAAGAGGAAATCTGAGGAAGTAAACAATAGATTCCTACTGGAATTATTTAGGATTTTTTTTTTTAATTGCAGAAACCCATTCTAACTAGCTTAGGCAGAGAATGGAACTTTATTATTAGGATCCAAAAAAATCCCTTATGCTTAAAGGCATGAATGCTACAAGACTTCTGGAAGGGTCTGGACCAAGGCTACAAAGCCATTGGAATTTTCTCTTTTGTTTCTCCTTCAAGTGAATAAGATTTCTTCTCACTGTGTCTAGACTGGTTTCCTTTGTTCTTAAATCCACATGAGAAGTAAGACTTCCAATAGCTCTGGACTAGGCATAAGGTCCAGTTCACAGAGAAAATGAATCTCATCCTCTGGGTCTCACTTCTAGAATTCTAGGAAAGAAACTCCAATACAGTTTGGATCAAGTGACTCTCCCTAGTCATAAAACAGAGTTATTTTATGACAGGACTCCCAAAGGTCCACTTTTGTGACTCTGGATGGTGGGATCATGGGGCAGTTCCCAAAGAAGGGATAGCTGAGGAAACCATTCTGTACGTGTCTGGTGTATACCCACTACAATACATTTTGCACGATATTGGCCACATGAAACATTTAGAGTATAAATTTTGTTCTAAAGTTGCAAGTGTATATACAAAGAAGCAAACTGTCAAACCTGGGATTTAAAAGAAGTGGAAAGCTTTTCTTCCCCATTGCTTTGCTGAAATCCTTCTGAGCATCTCTGTGCTCCAGAAACACTTTGTAACAGTGTCTATTCACACACCTGATGCATTTTCAAAATTATGTCTCACTGAGTGTGGAGCCCAATGTGGGGTTTGATCCCAGGGCCCTGAGATCATGATCTGAGCCAAAATCAAGAGCCAGCTGCTTAACTGACTGAGCCACCCTGGTGCCCCAGAGATGTGCTTTTTAATTCACTGCACCCAACAACTATGCTAGTACATATCTCAGAG